GAGCGTACTTTGTTTTGCTGAAAGAGCAGCATCGTCTCGCTCATGTAGCTCACGCGAATCGCAAACTCGCGCGATTGACTAATTTGAGGTCAATGTTACAGTCGACCTCATCTGGAAGGTAGCACCTTGGAAACGAGACGAGGACGTAGAAGAGGATCGCGTAGAGCCACTCGCGCAAAATGGCCGCCTTCTCGGCCTGCTCGTCGGGCGTGGTCGACGCGCCCGTGAGCACGACGGCCGCGTACGTGACCTGCAGCGTCGCGTTGAAGAGGAGCATGTGGAAGAACGGAATCGGCGTGCAGTTGTAGAAGTACATGATGAAGAGACAGAACCACGAGACGCCGTAGTCGCTCGTGAGCTTGTTGTATACGATCGGGTACGACCCGAGGAAGATGTGAGAGGCCCACGTAATTTGCATGTAGCGCTTGTGGCTTGCGTGCGTGGCGGCCCACACGTTGAGCCCGAGGAGCGGGATGATGATGCCAAAGCGCAGCGCGAGCGTGACGTAGAACGCCGTCATCGAGTACGCGTTCTTGAAGATCGTTTGGTTGGACGTCAAGCTCGTGCCAACGCCCATGACTAGAATGCCATAGTCGTAGACGATGGTGCCGATGAGGAAGACGATGATGCTCAGCATGCCGCGGATGTGCACCTTCTTCATGATGGCCGCGTAGTGTTCGGAGAAGGCGGCTTCGACCTCGAGCATGACCTTGTTGATCGAGATGCGAATGAACGCGAGGCTGATAAAGTGCAACGCGACGTCGTCCATCGCAAAGTTCTCAAGCGGAAACACCGACTTGTACGGCGGCCGCACGACCGGGACGCTCGCGCGACTCGACTCGGGCGGAGCCGGGTGCACGCGGTTGGCGACCGGGCTGTTGACGAGCGCCCCGGCGGCCCGCGACGTCGTGAGCTTGATCGACATGCGACGCTTCAAGACCCAGAGGTTTGAAAATGGCGGGGATGGCCGTTAAATGAATGCAGTCTCGGATTACTATAATTAGGGAGCTATCTATCTATATACGACTACTCACGTGACAAAATACCTAGACATCGAAATGAGAGACAACAGAAGCGACCCAGCAGCGTACGTGCGCAGCTTGGTATTGTGGCCCGACACGTTGAGCATCTTGTGGTACTCAAACTTGAACGCGTTCGGGTCCGTGTTCTAGCCGCCAACAATGGTTGAGAGACCCTAGCCCTTGTGCCGACTACTATACCTTGATGCGCGTGTACGTTGTCTCGCTGAGGTGGATGCGGCCGGGGACGCCCGAGCTCTCGAGACTCTGCGCGATCGCGACCGTCTCGCCAAAGAGGTGGTAGCGAGGGTCCTTGATGCCCACGACGCCGGCGACGACGCGGCCCGAGTGCACCCCGATGCGAATGTTGAGGTTCGGGTTGGACGAGTTGCGCCGCAGCACGGGAAGAGTGTTGAGCATGTCCAGACCTATAAGACGACAATGAGACAAGCGAGTCCGAAGAGAAGGAGGTACCAGCGTTGAGGATCATGATGGCGTCGTTGTTGGTGACGAGGGGGCAGCCGCCGACGACAAAGTACGCGTCGCCGATGATCTCGACCTTGTACAGGTCGCGCTTCTCCGAGATCGTGTCGAAGCGCGTGTACATGTCGTTGAGGAATTGCACGAGCTACGCGTCGCTTGCGATCGTTTTTTGACGGTATATCGTAGTACCTCCATGGCCGACACGCGCGACGAATACGCGGTAAAGTTGACCATATCGGTAAAGAGGATCGTGACGTTCTCAAACGTCTCGGCAATCTACACCAATTCGCAAATTGTGGGAGCCAAACCGCGTGACACCAAGTACCGTCACTTCGGGACTGGCTTTGAGCTGGTTTACAATGCTCTCGGGCAAAAGATTCCGAAGCAACTTGTCGACGCGGTTTTGCTCTTCCACCAATTTGACTTGCTGCGCGTTGAGGACCAAATCCCGGAAATGGTTGACGCGCTCTTTGAATTCGCACGTAAAAACGACCCAAATTTGCGGCACAAAAAAGATGATGACGTAAAATGCGTTGCGGAGGCAGAGGAGGAGCATGTCGCGGGACGACTCGCTCGCGGTTTGGCCTGGCACGATCGCGCTGCTGAGCGCAATGTTGGCGACAAGGTACATGACGAGGATGACGAGCGCGGCCATGAACCGAAAGACAAACGCGAGCATGCTAAAGTGGCACTGGTACAACACAAGCGTCGAGATGTAGGCGTAGCCGCGCGACTGCATCGCGATGAGCTCCGTGTTCCAGAACGCCGAGATGAGCAGGAGCACAACGACTGAGCTCAGTTGCCGGTACTTGAGAAACGTCTCGGTGAACGTAAAGAGGAGGAAGCACGAGCAGACGGGCATCGTGCAGCAAATGTTGATGATGAAGAGGATGTTGGCGGCTTGGAACTGCCGGCCGTTGAGCAGCGCGACGCTCGAGTACATGGCTTGTACGGGCTTGACGAGAATGCACAGAAGAATCGACGCGCGGAAGAAGCGCATCCAGCGCTTCTCGTTCTCCTTGCGGTACATGAGCTCGAGTGTGTTGTCCGTGTTGATGTAGAAGAACACGTTGCGCTTCGTCATGTCGGCCGGCAGTTCCATGAGCGCGGTGGCGTCCGTACCCGACGGCGCAGCGACGTTCTCGGGCGTGTAAAATGCGGCGGTGGACTCGCGCAACGTGTTCTGCTTGTGCTCGGACACGAGGTCTCTGGACGGCGGCAACGTCATGAGCATCGAGCTCGAGGAAGACTTTTTCCGTAGTAGCTTCATAAAGGCCGTGCGGCCTTCGACCTCGGTCGGCGGCGCTCCGTACCCAATCTACACAGCGAATAAGAACTGAGAACGGAGCGGCGCGGTGTGAGTGTGTACAGCATTGAGGGTGCGCTTGGAGAGATCCGGGATTTTGGCGACGCTGCCTCGGGGCGCCGCGGGGTCGAGCGGGGCGACAGCACCAGGCTTGGCATTGACGATCGACGATGGATTCGTGAGGACGACTGTGGGAGCTAAAATCATGACAGGCTGTGCTTGCCGGGGCACGCCTTCTTGGTGGCCGCGGAGAAAGTACGTTTGCATGTCGCCCCGGCCTTTGACCGGAATCGTGCCCCGGTGCTCCGTCACGTACGCGTGCTTGATCGCGTCGTGCGTCGCCTCGGTGAGCTGGATGTGCCCCGGCAAGTTGGTGCTCTCCATGCGCGACGATACGTTGACCGTGTCGCCAAAGAGCTATCGACCAGTGGATACGTCGAGATACGTGGGGATCGAGAGGTACCTTGAAGCGCGGGTTGCGGATGCCGACGACACCGGCCATGAGGATGCCCGTGTTGATGCCGATGCGGATGTTGATGTCGCCAATGTTCTTGGCCCACTTGAACGTCTTGCGGATGTGCGCGCGGAGGTCGGGCATGGCCGCGATCATGTCGAGCGCGAGGTTGGCGATCAAGACCGCGTGGTTGGTCATGCGGTCCGGACACCCGCCCGAGACCATGTAGACGGCGCCGATCGTCTCGATCTTGTGCACCGAGTGGTAGTCGACGAGCACATCAAACTTGGAAAAGATTGTGTTGAGCAGCTCGACGACCTGGTCCGGGTCGAGCTGACCGGAAATCGTGTTGAAGTCGCAGACTTCGCAAAAGAGCACGGTCACGGACGCATACTCGTCAGCGATGAGTTCTCGGCCGGCTTGGAGCTGGCTCACGACCGAAGCAGGTAGCATACTGCCGAGGAGGGACTTGGAGCGAAGCTCTTCTTGCTCGAGCTAAGG